CTTGTACAAGTCATATGTAATGCATTGACCAAAAACACAAATAAAGGTGGTAGCTACCAATAACATCAGCTTTAAAATAAAAAAATAAAAAAAAATATTTAAAAAAAAAATTTTTATTAAAATTTAGATAAAAAATATTTATTTTCTATTATTATTTTTAGAGCTTTTAGAAACTTTATAACTTGAATAACCTCTGTTATATTGTGATTTAGAAGATTTAGTACTATTAGATAAATGTATATTAGAATTATCTTTAATTAGTCCTAAATTATAAAAATAATAAATATAATAAATTAATTAAAAATATTGTTAATTTATATCATTTTATAATTTAAAAAATTCTATATTTTTATTTAGAATATTAGAAATATAAGTTTTAAATTGAAACTATAATAACAAATCATAAAAATTAACAAATACATTACTAGATTTATGATTAATAATATATTTATCTTTGTTCATTGTTCTAATAACATTATTATTATTATTGACATTATTATTACAGAATCTTCAGAATTATATAAATAAACTATTACAAAAATTTTAGTATTAGAAACAATAAAATTTGTACTTATACTTGCCAGTAAATCTTGAATAAATACTAAATCCAAAAAAAAATTTACTTTTTGTAAAAAATTAATTCAAAACATATATTATTGTTTAAATAAAGATTATTAATAAAGTTTTTTAAGATATTAGTTTGAGTCAAAGTTTAAATTTGGGCATGAACAAACCAAAAATATAATAGTTTGAAATTTAAGCAGCAAGTATAATTGTACCAAAAATAATATTATATTTAATAGAACATTACCAAATGTTGTAGTAAAAGCATTACCAAACATTTTAGTAAAGGAATTGCTAAGATTTGTATCAAAGGCATTTTTATCAATATTTCTATTAGGAGCATATCCAGAACTTTATTAAAATTTTTATAAAAGTTCATTATAGAATATCATTATCAAAAAGGTTGTAAAAAACAAAAAAAATGTTGTTGTCTTAATGACGATCGTACACTTATATATTGTGGCTGCGCCACGATATACGTTAGATGCATGATCACGTTACTGCACTTTTGATGATGATTCTATTCATTCATCGGCAATTTTTTCAGATGTACCAGAATTTATGAAAACAGCTGTAAAATTCTAGCCCATAACAATTTTGAGTCGAGTGGTCGGATACACGGTTACCGGATGGCTGTTTGGATCCCATACTTACAGTATTAAATTTAAAGTATATTAATTTTAAAAATACTTAAAAACTTAAGTATTTAATAATTTTGAGTACTTAAAAGTAATAAATTTAAATACTTAATAAGTAGTGCTATTTAGTGAATATAAATAAGGCTGTAATTGACGTAACTTTATGAGTTCATTCAAAAAATTGCTTTTCAGGTATTGTAGCAACAAATCGGATAATACTAATACACGCGATGACTTTGATTTTTGTATTAAGGTTTACAAGATCCAGAAAATACAAACACAAAGATCGAAGGACACTCCCCTCGAATGGCACATATAGTTGGATGCAAATCCGGTATTATTAGAATTACGTACAATGCTAATGAATTGCATCCGTTTGGTCTTGATTAGAGATGCAGACATATTGTCGAATTAGTTACGATCTTCTTTAAACCAGTTTTTTTATATTGAGGTAATTAGGCTACGGCCTAATTACGATCTTTTATTACGCAAATATGTCTGCACCTCTAGTCTTGATAAGTTTTTAGTATTCCTTCAACGCTCATAAGCATTCGAAGTGTCCATTATATGATCTTATTAAAAATGCGTGTGGCAAAGATCATAGATGTAGAAACTTTATGTAATACTTTTAAATTTAATTAATTTTCAATGCGCATAAACTCTATCTTCAAATGACTTAAATTCTAAAACCACATACTCGATGAAAAATAATTTGGAATACACCTAATTTTATGTTATTGGAAGTTGATTGGAATTCCTTAGAACTCGGGTACATTTTAAAATTTTGTTACAACCTGTTTATTTGGAATCAATCTATCGCTATGTGGAAACGGAATTTAAGTGGATTTGAATTTCCTAGTTAAATTGGGGATGTTTATATGATAAAATCAACCCGAAATGTTGGTTCTATATAAAAATTCAGAATCCACTTAAATTCCGTTTTCACTTATAACATATACATTGAAATTGACTTTATACGTTACTGAATAGTATCAGAATTTGACCAGTTAGTTAAAAATCTCTGACCGAATAATATCGATTATAGTTATAATCAATCACTAACCATCCCTAGGTGTCTGGAAGCCATTTTGACGAACATACGTATATAAGTATGTTTTTTAATACGTTCTAAACGTTATATGATCGTCAGATAAAAAGCCGAGTTTAATGTCAGGACAATAAACAATACGTATACGTATCTCAGTACATTTATTTTAGCCTAATTTGATGTTCAGTAACCTAACGCTAATTCTAACATTAACGCCGAATACCGATATAAATAGATTCATCACCCCGTATTTTTACAGTGTACTACCTAATACTAACAGATTTTTAAGGACTAGCCTACGTACGTACGAAAATTGGTTTTGCTTCATTTTAAGCATGACAAAATGCATACAATTATTCAAGAAGAGGAAGCAGTCTTGGTAACAAAAACTGATTATATCTTTTGATCATCCATATATTTTATTTTGACCATATGTGTATTTTGTTTTATTGCAATAGAAGAAAGAACTAGAATGGTTATTAAATTCTCAATTGCCAGATGCGCTTTATAATTTAAAAAAAGCATTAAAAGTAATCATTGCAATTATTTATCCATGTTTGAAATCTGCTTTAAGTGTCGTAGATAAATGGTTGATAATTTGTTTATGAACATATAGAAATGTGAAGCGATTATGAAATCTCCGGAAAATGATGGCAATTATCATTTCTTATTGTTTTAAGAATCATTTACTATGGGTATTGATGGATTTATTTATTTTAGATACTTTGGGGACAAGTACATTGGCCATTTCATCTAATAAGTATTTATTTGTCCTAATTATTGAAAAATGAAAATTCTTGGTCTTAACGTCCTTGTTTTCTATTCTCTAGTAGCGATGTATTAAAAGGCTTTGTCACATTAGATGGAAGTGATATTATAAAAGGGGTATCGTATCATATTTGTAAACGTTATTTCTCATTCATTAACGCTAATATTAATGAAATAAATAATAGGAATTGCAAATAAAATTCCCAAATTATAATCGTGGAAATTTGATAAAATTAGCTGTTAATACAAAGAAACCCTACTTTATTGAACAGGTATTCAATTCTTAGTTGTTATTAAATTACCTATCACTGTTGATATTTTAAATTTTACATTTTAATGAAATTTGTGTCTTTATCGCGCAATTAAAGCAAATTGATGCTCAGAATTATATCACTTTAGCTTTAGATGCATTAGAATGTTCAAATAATTTAAATACAAAAAAAGAAAAATGCTATGAGGTAAATTTCATGATTTATAATTTGTTTATATGGTATCCCAAAAAATTAATTTGAATATTTTATAATGTTTCATTCTAATAAGTTGTTGGATACAGTTCTCAAATATATATCTAATGCTCGATATATCCTCACCTGTGCAAGCGAAGAAAAATTGTTTCCTTATAAAATCTGTGATCCTCAGGTAACTTAAAAATATGGTCTGATATATTTTTGCAATTAATTAATGAATTTATTATATAGATGTTTAGCTCTAAATTGCCCGAAGATTTAGTGGTTCAATTTCATATTGAAGGTTCATGTATAGTTGTCTCCGTTTTTGCGCTTCAATATCATTCTTCGGCACCACAGCAAAAGCAAGGAAATATTTTAGGATCCTCTAAAAGCACTTTGAAAGTTTGGTATCCTTTTTATTTGTGCAATTTATAATTTATTCCGCCATTTTCATCTATGATTCTTAATCAGTCAAATAACTATTAGCCAATACAAAGATAAATATGCTTCAGTATTGAATGAAATTGTAGTAAAATCTTTGGATCCCAAGTTAGAAAAGGTTATGGAGTGTTTAAAGAAATTAGAAAGCGATTGTTCTGCATGGAGAAACAAGATTGCTGTATTCTAAATATCTGTTATAAATCTCTGTACACAACAAATCTTAATTTGCTAGTTGTGTTTAATGTATAGTTGTTAATTTAAAGTTTCAACCAAATAATTGGCATGAGGAAATTCAATAAATGTATCCTAAATCTAAAAAAAGATAATTCAAAATTAATTGCCACGCTTACACATAAATTTTGATATAAATTAAATTTGTTTAGCTTTTGCTTTGCATGTAATTTGATTATTTTGAAAGAGGTCACCCAGAACCAATGTTTTTCAAAATTGGCTTTTAGGTTGTTATTCATCGACTGACTAGACTTTTCACTTTCCTCTCGCATTTTACCAACCTTATTTAATTAAATTTCGGCTAAAACATAAACAAATGTTTAAGTGATTCCTCGGATTAGTTTAATCTTAAATGGGTATTTTGTAAAAAAAACAAAAAAAATCAGTGCTTCACAGCTATATTAGATAATTAAATATAATTTATAATATAATTAATTGACAAAATTTACACCAAACTCTAATCCGTAGATAATGCTCGTTCATAAATTAAATTGGCTGATAGATTATAAAATTCATGAATAACTAAATCTTGACAAACACAAGTATTACATCTTTAAACATTTTCCTTATGAATAAATTTAGGAGTTTAAATGAACGCTCCAACTTTGCACTTATTAAATTCAAAAATATCAACAATTTTGCATTACAGAAGTAAACATATGTTTATGCAAATAATGTGGATTATGCATTTTATTATGAAATTATGTGTGTATATGTCGCATCTGAAGTACGTAGCGATTTATCTAAAGTAGCCACTTTATATATCTAAAGTAACGCCCTGGCTAAAATTATAACCTAATGCATGCATGAAGATCTAATTTCAGGGGCTTAATTTTAGCCAGGCGCTACTTTAGATAAATCGCTATCTAAAAGAATTCTGTAAATTTATATAGCAAAGCTAGTGTTGGCAATAAAACAAAAGCACGATTTTTGTATTTATAATAATTTATACGATTATTTAGATATATATTATTAGAGCATTAGTAAAGTAATAAATTTAAAACTATTTTTATATTTAATTAATAAATTTTAATACTAAAAATTTACAATAGAAAAATAAAAAAAAGTGAATAGAATATACCAATAGAAAAAGTATAGTAAAATGCCAACCCTACAGCAAAACTGTTATATTTGTTATATTTGCCTATTATACTATAACGGTTGGTTAGGAGAGCGACGCATAATGAATGCGCAGTGTAGCTCCAACCGTTATGTGGATTGAATGGTACGAGATTTCTATAGGGCATGACTATGTACTTTATGATGGGAACCGAGGTTCTTCCGTTTATTAAATAAATGATTCACTTTTTATACACTTTTATCAATATGAAAACGAGCACATTCTGGAACATACTCCATGACATCAGAGACACCACGCTATCGTGTTAGCCTTAGGTCAAAATGCACACTGCCTCATTCGAGGGCTCTAACAATCACGATACTAATTTAGTTAAATGATCAATTACACCAAAAAAGGTAAAGTCATAAATTAATTCATTAAATTTCTCCAAGATGTTCCAAAGCATAATTATTTGGTACAATTTTTAGTAACTTGACGAAATCTGTTAGTGATTCGTTATATTTACTCTATTCCCTAATGAACATGCATCTAAAGTGATTCATTATATTATATTTATCCATCATGTAATAAACTTCTTAATTTTAATGTATTATTTGATCTATTTCAATGAATTAGTTAAATTCATGCATCCGTGAATTCTTAATGCCTATGCTTAATTTTGTTCAACTTCCAACGATTTAGTTAGATCTGAAAGACACCTCATATTTTGATATCATGTAATAAACTTCGCCACGAACTTCTAATGTCAGTGACCTAGTTTAATTTGCAAGCTATTCTAGAATAATCAGCACAAAAGTCCGGGTTCTTACACTTTATTGCTTTCAAATTCACCGCGGATTTTTACGATACTCTGTATATTCAACCCGTTATCAGGATATTAAACGAAGTATAAATAGATTTCTCGTTTATGTTCCCAATTATTTTTTTTTTCAGGATTTCAGAATTGGATCTCTTTTGGTCCGAACAGAACAACTTGATTCCGCTCACTCCTCTGGAGGGGAGAACTTGGTAAACTTCAGAAAATTATTTTCTGAAATTCTCGGTAACACATAAAATTTTTAAAATGACATGTAACCTTATATATACTTGCTCTACTAAGAAAGGGAAAGGCAGAGAAGAAACAAAGAATTAAGTTGGTCTGACTTTGTATATCTTTTTTTTTTCTTTTTTAAATATCAAGTGAATTGTTTTTAACGCGCTTGAACTTATAGATGGTGGTAGAATTCAAAAAAAAGGAAATTATAACAATGATAACGTATAATCATTTTCATTGTTAAAATTTCCATTTTTGAATTCTACCATCTATATTTGAAATACCGCTAGCATAAAAGTTGTTTGCTAAAAAAAAAAGCCGTGCGAAATTGTACTGAACTGGTTGCATCTTTTCCTAACAGGTTATGTACCCCATATAAGGTGAAAATTTTACAAAATTCAATATCAGGTGTGACAAAATCAAACCACAAAACCTAACGCTGCTGGCGAAATTTTTTTAGATTGATGCTAAGTTCCTTGGGAAGTAACCATCAGGAATATGGACGGCTCCCCAAGGAACGAACCCTGGAATAAATCACAAACGTGCGGTCAAAAATTTAGGCCCAGCTGTTGATCTTATATAAATTAAGGCAAATTTGATATATGATACCGATACTCACACAATAAAAAAAAACAGTTGATCATTCTTTAAAGCTTCCTCCCTGATTTTTTAAAAATGTCTATCAGTTCTGTTATTAAGGATCTTAAGGGTCGTCTTGACGGAAAAGTTGCTATTATTACTGGAGCAGGAAGGTTAGTTTCCATAGCATTATTTTAACTATTATTGTTAATTTGATGAACCAATTTTTTCAAATTTCATATTCACGATTATTAAGTGGTATTGGTTTTGAGTCAGCCATTTTATTTGCGAGAGAAGGAGCTAATGTAATTGCAGCAGACATTAATCTTCAATCTGCTGAAGCTGTGGTTGAAAGAATAAAGGAGAAATTTCCATTGAATGTTCTTAGACGCACCGTCGCTTATAAGGTGGATGTTTCCAAGGAAGATGAAGTAAAAAAATTGGTGGAATTCACTTTGAAAGAATTTGGTATGTTATCATATTAGTTTTATTATTAAACCATTTATTCACATAATTGTTATGTATCCATGATTTATTATAGGTAAACTCAATATCATGTTTAATAACGCTGGTATAATGCACCCTCATGATGATAATTGTATTAATACTGATGAAAAAGTCTGGTAAGTGTAATTTCCCTATTCCCTTTGTTCTTTTATTAAACTAATAGTTTCTTCATTTTAAAAGGGATCTTACTATGAATATCAATCTCAAGGGTGTCTGGTATGGCTGCAAATGGGCTATTGATGCGATGCGAAAGAACAAAGATAACAAAGGCGGAAGCATAATTAATACGGCCAGTTTTGTCGGATTAATGGGCGCCGCAACTCCTCAGATAGCTTGTAAGCATAATTTCGTTAATCAATATATATCCTTTAATAGTGCTTCAAAACTTATATAAATCTTAGATACTGCTTCTAAGGGTGCCGTTATTGCATTAAGGTATGACCACATTATAATTTCATAACTTTGTGATAATAATGATTAAATTTATATATATATATATATAAAAAACCAGTCGAGAACTGGCCGTTACTCATGCTCGAGAAAACATCCGTGTTAATTCATTATGCCCTGGACCTTTGCGCACACCATTACTCATGGACTTTCTTAATACTGACGAAAAAAAAAACAGAAGACTTGTTCATGTGCCAATTGGAAGATTCGGTAATTTTACTTTTTCATTTATTTCTTCTACGGACATCAAAATTTAATAGTCTTGAAATAGGTGAACCAGTTGAACAAGCTCAAGCTGCCTTATTCTTAGCATCCGATGAATCATCTTATATCACGGGAACTGAGTTAAAGGTTGATGGAGGTCTTACTGCCGCATATGTGGTTAGTATACATTATAATCACTTGTATATATTAATATAGGATGTTATATTAAAACACTTTCGATATTTTCTTAAGACTCCTGAAGGACCTTGCGCAAGCGAGCCACCAAAGAATTACTTTAAGCCTGCATCGGAAAAGAAATAAGTATTTCGTGCATTATGTGTCAAAATTTTTTTTGCCAAATTCAGTTGTCATTTTGGTTTATGTAATTTTAATACGTGTTGGCTTTTTACTGTAAAATCCATTATTTTAGAACGTTAAACCTTTTTTTTAAATTTTATTTATGAATTTTTAATTTTTATAAACTTTCTTTGATGATTAATGATCGCAAACTTTACAATAATAATTATTGTTATTCTAGCATTATGTCGTTTTAAAGATATACGTAAACAGAAATTGCAATTCTTAAATTAGTTCTAATGCAATAGGTACATACAAAGTTTCTATAGCTTGAATTTCTAAGACAAAATTGCATTGTTTTTTCTTGCTATGCTAGTTGTATAACTATCTGTACATGTATTTACTTTACCGACTGATGAATTACCGTTGAATACGCAGACATAATGTTTTATTACAACAAGTTATGATTTATCTATACAGTTCCCAATCGGATAGCCTTCATCATCAATTAGAATTGAATTCTTAATTTGGTGTGTCAAAAAACCGTTTTTTTTAAGTGATGCAATATACTAGCTGATAAATTTATAATTGCAGTCAATATCTAGGGTTGTAACATGGTTTGATCATATGCTCATATGATTGGTTTTATGCTAGTTAATAATGCTAGCTGAGTTTTTCATAGTGCTGGTACTAGTGTTGTTAGGCGAAACTTAGAGGTTTCGCAAAAGGCGAAAGTCGAAACTAGTTTCGACTTTCGCCA